AGTTTTACTGCTTGCTCGTTTTGATGTAAAAATAATGAAGCACAAATTTGTCAGAGAAATTACTAGACATTAAACAAAAGCAAAAAAATAGATTCCCTGACATGGAAAATTACTGATGGCAACTTTGAAGGATGCGAAAGAGGGTACAACTACAGGTGTCTCGGCACAGGACAGGGCCACTACAATATTGGGCCTTGCATCAAAAGATTCAAAGCCCGAGGATTTTAATCGGCCCGGACACATATTCCCGCTTAAGTACAGAGATGGTGGTGTTCTGAAAAGAGCCGGGCACACAGAAGCTGCTGTGGATCTTGCCATGCTGGCTGGATTAGGTGATGCTGGCGTTTTGTGCGAGATTGTTGATGATGATGGCTCCATGGCTCGATTGCCTGCGCTTAGGGAATTCGTGAAGCGGGAAAAATTGAAAATCATATCTATTGCCGACCTAATAAGGTAAGTCTATATATGTTCTTTTAATTGTATTTGATGATTTTTGTCGAGTTAGGCTGTGTTTGGTAAAATTAGCTGATAGCTTATGACTTATTGCTGAAAAACTGGCCTATATAATAGAAGTATTTGGTAAAATTAGCTGATAAGCCAGCTGCTGAAATAAAAATTTCTGACGGGCTTATTTGAAAAGCTACCAGAAAAGCTTATGAACCGTATATTTGCAGATATAGAAGAAAGAGAGATAGATTAGTGGAAAATGCATCTGCCGCACGTATACCAACTGCATGGGGTCCGTTTACAGCCTATTGTTATCGGTCGATCTTGGACGGGATCGAGCATATCGCAATGGTTAAAGTGAGTACCATACTATTTTTATTTTTATTTTTTTACATAATAATGCATTTGGGATGAATATCGCGAAAAAACGAAAAAGAAAAAAAAACTTTATTCTTTCATATTGACATTTGTGGTTTTTGTAAACAGGGTGATATTGGTGATGGAGAAGACATTCTGGTGAGGGTGCACTCGGAATGCCTCACGGGGGACATATTTGGGTCCGCCAGATGCGACTGCGGGAACCAGCTGGCGCTCGCGATGCAGCAGATCGAAGCTGCTGGCAGGGGCGTTTTAGTCTATTTACGCGGGCATGAGGGAAGGGGGATCGGTTTGGGCCACAAGCTACGGGCCTACAATCTGCAGGACAATGGGCGGGACACTGTGGAGGCAAACGAGGAGTTGGGCCTGCCCGTCGATTCAAGAGAGTATGGTATTGGTGCACAGGTAAATTTTTTTGTAGCCTCAAAGTGTTAACTATTCAGATATCTGCCTCTCATCTTCTGGCAAATTATAATTTTTGCACAGATACTGAGAGACCTTGGGGTTAGAACCATGAAACTGATGACCAACAATCCTGCAAAGTATGTCGGGCTCAAGGGTTACGGGCTGGCTGTTTCGGGCCGGGTCCCACTCGTGACCCCCATTACAAAGGACAACAAGAGATATTTGGAGACTAAACGGGCCAAAATGGGCCACATTTATGGTCTGGATTCAAACGGCAATCCGGCCCTCATCAACAACAAGAATGCAAACTGTAGCTGATTCGTAAAACCTAAGTTGGATTAATAATAATAATAACAAGAAACTTGTTGGACTAATTTTTATTCCCTGATTGTTGTAGAATCATAAAGTGTTGGTTTGGTTTTCTTTTTAATTTTATTTTATTTTATTTTCTTCCTTGATTTGTATACGGCCCATACGTTGATAATTAGTGTTGGAACTTGGAAGGATTCATAGTTAAAAAGGCCCGGGCATGGCTCACAATTATTGACATTTGATTTGGTATTTTGTCTTTTATTTGTCTGGTTTTTGTTGTAGAGGAACAATTTTGAATTTGAACAATGTTCTTATGTTGGTTTTTTATGAATTTTTCTTATGAATTCCGTTATGTTTTGAAACTGATGATTAATTTATGCTTGATTTTGATCATTTAGCGAATTCTAGTTCACTTTTATAAGCCTTGGCTAATATCTTGCTTGGGCTTAAATTCTCATCGAATGAATGTTCCTACTTTAATGCTAATTGACTTTATGTGTACAGAATACTAGTGTCATTAAATTATATAATAAAGTTATCTTAATGTGAGCCGGGCTGAATTTAATTTACACGCGTACTAATCATGAATTCTTATTACCTTTGGCAATAGTAGACGCCTAACCTGTATTTTGACTATTTTCTGATACTACGTAAAAAATAATGTAAACTATATATATGTGTTAAATTTTTAAATAAAAATACATTAATGGCAGTATACGTTTCAACTGAATTTCTTTTCCAATGAATAAAATAAATTTGAATTATTCCTTAATAGTATTAACTCTTTTAATAGAACAGTAAAAAACATTTTTGCTCACTTAAATTGACAAATGTTTACTAACGGTCGGAAATAGCACAAAAAGGTCAAAGGACTATAAAATGGAACATAAATTGGCACACTGAATTCAGTAATCTATGATACACATTTTATCTTTTATAATTAATAAAACGGACATATAACGATGTCACTTTTTTAATAATGGGTGGGGAAACTGGCGGACCGATCCACAAAATTGAGATAATTTTAAGATTGTAAATGAGTACAGCAAAATGTAATGAAAAAAAAAATGTAATGATTCTAGTTAATTAAAAAAAAAAAGAAAAACAAAAATTAATTGCTAACGATTAGTATAGTAACTAGGTACATGTGTCCATGTAAGTATGAATAGTAATTTTTTTATTGAAAGTTATATAAGTAAAAGTTGAATTTATTTAATTTATTAATAGAGTAATAGATATAAAGGTGAGATTAATAAAATTCAGTTATCACTAATTTTTTTTTTTTTCATTTACAATTTCAATCTATATATAAGTTGAAAATACAAAAGAGAGAGTCAAAAAAGGGGGAAAAAAAGGGGGAAAAAGCACGCTTACGCAGAAATCAGAACCGAATTTATTTTTACCGCAGACGTACCAACAAAGTAATTTTCACTGACGCGGTTTTACAATAAAAGACAACCGCCGTGTTTCGCCGTAACTGGTAAACACATTCCCCTCACGAAATCAATTTACCTTTTTTTCCCTTTCAATCCCCGCCGTTGATTAGAACCACGCCAAAAGATATGCTCTCTAGGCAAATCTCCATCTAACGGCCCACATGATCCCAGAATATCACCCACCCCCCTATAAATCAAACCCTCACACCTATTTTCCTGTGCTCTCACCCACCGGAGTTCAACCCAGAAAAAAATCCCTCTCTCTCTCTCTAATCCTTTCTCTCTTCTAATGGCGGTTTCATCAAATGCTTTCTCTCTTCTGATGGTGGCAGCGGCAGTGCTACTCGGCTCCGCCGTCGCCCAGTCCCCTTCCATAGCTCCGGTGCCGTCACCAGTAGTCAGATCGCCGTCTACTGCGCCGTCGCCGCCGAGGGGCGCTCCGTCTCCGGCTCTGACGTCACCCGCTACGCCGCCTCCGGCGCCGGCGACTCCCTCTCCCACGCCGGCAGACGCGCTCTCGCCGCCGTCTCCGCCGCCGGCGGCATCCTCCCCGTCCCCGTCCGTCGCCTCGCCACCGTCGGACATCGCACCGGCTCCCCGTCCCAACGGCGGCGTCGTAAAAAGGGTGGGGCTCGCGGCCATCGCCGCCGGATTTCTGGCAGTCGCTATGGTTGCGTAAATAGTTGGACAGTGGTGGCCGCCGGCGTACCTTTTAGTCTAGATCGAGTTTTCACCTTTATTTGTTGTTTATTTTCATTTGTTTCTATTTTCTGGATTTTACGTTGGGATATTTACCGTTATTTATTTAGTAGGCAAAATTTTATTCTCGTGATTAATTATTTCTGCTCTTGGAATTTAGATTGATGATTTTGGTGTTTAATTATTTTATTATTTTAGTAGTTGTGTTCTGGAATTTGTTGTGTTGAATGTTGATTTTAATTTAGTTATAAGAAAATTATTCTTATTATTTGTGATGAAAATGAGTAGATCTCTAATCTCAATACAAGTCTAACAATAAAAAGTTTCTCATTGGAACTTTGGAATGACCAATCAAATCTCAACACGTTTCTCATTGGAACTTTTGAAATGACCAATCATGTTTCAAATGGTGTATAATGAAAAAGCTCAAAAAGTAACTACAGATACAAATACTTATCTGTCAAGTTAGGATTGAATTTGCTATTCAAATTAATTAGTAAAACTTATTTGATATTTGATATTAGCTAATATAATAAGCTAACTTATTTGTTAAATTACTAATTAAATTACATGTCAGTTTAATTAATACAATCAGCTATTTGGTATTAGGTAATATAATCAAATATCAGCTAATAGTTACTTAATTATACTATAACAAGCTATATACAAAGCATCTTTTACTTTGAAATCATTTTAGTTTGAAAAAAAAAAAAAATCAATGAAACAGACTTTACAGTATTTTTAATACTAACATTTTCACCTTTTCATTTGAATTATGCTTGTTGGAACTTGGAAATATAATAATAAAGGTACATGAAAATCCTATGTTATCCGCCTTTTGAATATTATTAAATTCTATAACCGTTAAAAGCCAACAAACGTATCATTTGCCAGCTCATGATTTTTTTTTTTCCATTATAGAATTTTGAGATTGAATTGAGACTTTGAGTTGGTAATGGACCCATAAAATCTTTGACAAACAATACATATGGGCCTTTGTGGTCTATTCGGACCGTAAAATTTAAGTTAAAGTACGTTTTGGTCTCCCTGTAATAATTTGATTCCCACAAAGAAAAATGTGAAACGTTAATTTACAATTTATTTGTAATTTATTTTCAGGAAAAAAAAAAAATATTTGTAAGTTGTATAATATGATACTGGCCACAAAATTACAAATCATAATTGATATATTTATTTCCCTCTAAATTTTCGTGTGATCCCCCTTTGTCATCTTTTCAACAATTGGCTCAACCATTGCATCGAGATCTTCCAAATTTTGCTTCAAATCACCAACCTATCAGCCAATACAAAGGAAATACAAAATAAAATGAAATTAAGTAAATAAACCAATAATAATAAAATAAATAATAGAATATGGAGAAGATATTATAGGATGATGACCGAGGTATAAAAAAATTTGCCTCGTTAAAAAATGACAATATCTTACAAAACTATACACCATCCATGTCGTTGTTGTCAAATTTACCTATCAATTAGACAAAAATATATTTTGAACAAGTATGTATATTTTCATGCCTAAGTGTCACAATATAAAAATGCACTTTCCTTCTTGCACTTTTTTCACAACTATTATGAAAAAAACTTGTTTTCTAGTAGAGACTTAATGGTTAGATAGACATACTTTTTCAATAGATGTTCATACTTCCATCATACTCAAATATTATACTTTAAAATACAATATAAATGAATTATAATATTTTATAGTATAAATATATATTTTTTTAAAAGAAATATAATTGTATAACAGTTAGACATTCTAATAATAGCATTTGTATATCAATAGCATATATATATTTTTAAATATTATCAAATGTATTAAATTAGTTATTGATACCAAGTTTCAAAGAAAAATCATTAAATTAATTATTTATACCTTGTGGATTATATCTTCAACTAGTTTAGCTTCCTGAGCAGCTACATTAGACACATGTTCCATCACTTGAGCTGCCTCCTTTAGCTTACTGTTATCTGGGAGCTGTTTTGCCACCTCAGCAAGCGCCTTATCCGCCGTGGCCGCCACCTCAGCCACCACCTCAGCCACCGCCTCCACCTCATCCACCACTTTTGTCGCCTTAACTGATTACCGCAAATTTTTATTTTCGTTAGAATTTGATCATTTTCTTGTACTGAATTTTACCAAATTTATTCAAGAAATAAAAAATAAAAAAAACAGGCATGAATTGCTAGTATTTGAGGTTGAACCAAACTAACAATGATAATAATAATAATAATAATAATAATAATAATAATAATAAAGTGTTGTGCTGTGCAACGTTTACAAGATGTTGCAAAAGTTTATTCATGGTTTTAGATTATATTATGTGGCAATTGGGAAATATTGATTATCGTTATACCTTCCAATTTAAGCAACTTGTCCCATTTGTTATTCCACAGTGGTAGCAACATTGATAGTATGGATCCCAAAAGCCATTTCATCCTGTA